TGTTGTTGTTCTTCCTGCTTTTTCCGACGCCGGAGACCGACGCCGGAGGGATTCGATCATCGTTTCTCCGAGTTCTCCGGAGTAGACGGTCGGCCGAAGGTATACAATGTTTTCGGTTTTCCTTTTTTCTGTTTGGTTTCCGGTAAAGTGACTAGAAAATCTAGATTCCGCGAGGAGAAAGTTTCTGTTTCTCTCTGTCGATGGAGTAGTTGATTTCGTCATCTGGTGACGCCTTCTTCATTTCAGATGCTGGAAAATTGCGAATTGCATTTTGAATAAGTACATGGTATTTCATGAATTCATTGACTCTGCTGTTGAACAATTTCTATAAGCTCGTGTCGTTCATGTTGATTCGTTTCTGGTTGGATGCTGGGAAAGCGAACAGTGTTCGTGTATGTGTTCATTCGCTTGATTTGCAGTTTAGCGACTCTTCTCCGCGTTTGATATTTCTCTGAGAATCTCCAAGTTTGCAAGAGTTTTGTCATTTGTTTCGTCCCTGTGACTGTTTAAAGCGATTTATGTTTGATTCTTTTGGATGATGGAAAGAGGATGAAAGCTTTAAATCTCCCTATAAACATTATGCGTATCAGGTTCGACTCTGATACCAGAATTATTTTCTCATCTTGTTATGTGTGCATTTCGGCTTGTTTTGTTGATTTGGATTACATAGTAATACTGGGTATGTTTGGATTCTTTTTGATGAAATGTTTTGAACATTTTCAGTTCCATTGGAGGTAACACATTCGAAGCCTGTCAAAAATCCTTTGTATCAGGATGTTATTCCATCGACAGAGGTCATATTCTACTAAAGATTTTTAATCCATAACGTAGATTGGTGATTCTAATTTTTCTCTTCTACTCATTTTCGTGCTTTGTCTTGTTTTTGTTACCAAGCAGACAATAGAGTCTTCTCCAAGAGCAAATATAACTAACTTGAAGGAGCTTCTTAAGGAAGAACATTTACATTTAAGAACTGAGGTAATATACTATATATATATTATACGATCTATGCAAAGGCTTTGGATTTTAGTTTTTCGGGAAAATTAGATGCTAAAGGTGCGTTGTATTGGAGAAGTAATATCAAATCACCTTCCAAGGCGATTCTTCTAGTGGATTCGAAACTATTCAAGTTCTATGTTCTCGATATTCCGGGAAGATTCTTTGCTCAATTGTGTCTATGTTTCACCACTTATTACCATTTTAAAAGGTAATGCTAATGCATTTTCTGTTGTATAGGCTTCAGAGCAAGGCATATTGCCATTGCTTATCTTAAGTCTGAAGGAGACCACTGCAGAAAGAAGGCCTTCTGTTGTATTCATGCACGGCACAAACGCAAACAAAGAATGGCTGCGCCCATGGCTGGAAGTAAAAGAGTGGAAGCTTTCTTTAAAGCTGATTTCACCCTTAAATCATTGAAGGCGAGAAATTCTTATGCGACAGACTTTCGCTTGTTTTTAGGCTTATGCTTCTCGGGGATACATAGCAATCGGTCTGGACTCCCGCTATCACGGGGAGCGTGCTAGGAACAAGACGGCTTATAGCGATGTATATATGAAACGTTCTAAATCATTCAGCATTATAACGATTTAGTAGCTTCGACGATTTGGCTTTGCTCTTGTGATATTGAGTGAGAATGAAGAGCTGATTCTCCATAGGGTCTGACATGGGTTTGTGCAAGTTGAATGCAGGCTCTCATATCATCGTGGAAAAACGGCGATACAATGCCCTTTATCTTCGATACGGTAACATTCCCATCCATTTAGACACCTTTGCGGGATCGCTTAATAATTCCTTTCGGTATCTTTCAGTTTATAGTACCGTCTCACTTGAACGGATTCAGGTATGGGATTTGATCAAACTAGCTGACTATCTAACCCAGAGGGAAGATATAGATACTAAAAGGATAGGAATCACCGGTATATCTTTAGGAGGTTAGTCACAGAATGCAACCACAAAAAAAAAAAAAAA